GGGGTTGTGGATTGAAGCGCGTTCCCACGGGCAGCGGAGCGCGACCACCATGGGGCCAGGAGGGCGGAGGTCTCTGGAGCTCCCGGAAGCTTCCGAGGGTTTGCGCCCGCTTCTGCTGCGTGAAAGCGGGCCAACTGGGGCTTCTTGACGCGGCGCAGCGCTTCGACGACAGCGTGGCCAGCGCAGCCGCCGACCGCGCCGCGCTGGCCCAGCGGCGCCGCCAGCTTGAGCGCGGGATCGCCATTGTCCAACGCGAGCAAATTAGCTTCGACCTGGACCTCAGGGCCCCCATGGCACACATGGAGCCGCCAGTCACAGCGACTCGGGCCCGAACAGCGCCGGCCGCGCCGACCGCCCCCGCCCCCGCGCCGGACACCTTGGGGCAAGAGAGCGAAGGCACAATCACGGGGAGTGACCACGGGCAACAGGCGCAGCCTGAACGAGGAGGGGAACGAGCTACGACCGCACGGCCATGCCGCCGCGCCGCGCGCGCCCCGAGCCACCTCCAGGCTCGCGCTGAAGGTTCCTCGCTGGGACCCCCTTTCATTCCATCGAGGTTCTGCTGGCCGGGGGGCTGTCTCCTCCCCCATGCTTGTGCAGAGGCGTAAGGAACGGGTCTGCCAGAGCACGGGGATCGCTATGGTCCTTAGCTGATGCGCCGTTGACTACGTCAGGGGCTCGCTGGCGCCCCAGGCTTGCGCGCGCTCGAACCCCTGCGCCGAACCAGGGGGAGTGGCCCCGCAGCGTTTGGCTCGGAGACTCACGCGCCGCCCCGCGCGCCCCGGCGGCCGAGCTTTCCGCGCGGCCGCCGCCGCGCGCCCAAGGGCCCGCCGGGGCCTCGGCCCACGCCCAGATTGTCCTCCGTCACCCCAGCGACCTTGGTTGGGCCAGGGCCACCAGGCCCGAAGCCTGATGTCGATTTAACCGAGCGCGTTTTCGGAGCGACCATGGCGAACAACGCGACCTTCTCTCGCACCGCCGCTGGCGACGCGCGGCGCCAATCTGCATCTTCAGCGCCTTCCAAGACCGCCGCTGACCATGCGATCAACGCGGGCGGCGAAACCCCGCGGGGCGCCACCGGGCCCGCTGGCGCACCAGGCAGCAGCGGCGAACAACTAGGACGCATCGCCCAGCCGAACAACGCCCAGCTTGAGCCCAGCGCGCGCTCGCTGACACGGGGCGCTCCCAGCTCCAGAAGCGATTGAGGGCCGACGGCAGTGGCGACGACCTGAGGGCACGCCGCGCGAGCGGCCCCCGTGCGCGCCGCGGTGGATCAGGCGGGCCCCGCGCCATTTGCACCATTGATGTCTTACGCGCCGCCGCGCGAGCCGACCGCGCCAGGGGCGCAGTTGCAGACGAATGTGGCCCGCCGACCTCGCTGGCCCGCGCAGCTGCGTCATCCGAGCAGGCGGCCGCCAGTCCAGACTGCGTCCCCGTCGCGTTTCAAGAGGTGAGCAACGACCCCACCCAGGACCCCGAAAACGATCGCGGCGCGCCCGACCATCCCAGCGGATCCAGTCGACGGAGGGCGCGCCCAGATGCACTTTGCAAAGGGATGAATTAGAAGCCGTGACTGCGGGAGACGGAGGGAGGTGCATCGTCGGCGCCGTGAAATTTTCCGCCAGCTTCAGTACGCGGCAGGTCTCTGGCACCCATGGAAAGAGGAGCGGACTTCTCCTCAAGCCCAGATGGAAGAATGCACCGGGCGTGCGTTGGAGAGAGTGCAGCGCAGCAGTTGTGCGCTGATATCGCGACCCACGCGCCTCGACATTGCACCACTGGATTACATGATTCAACGGGCGGCTTGCGACCTCGGCTTCGCCGCGTGGCAGAACGGGCAAATCCCCGCGCGTGCGAACGCGGGGCAATCGGCAGGCTCTCCCACGCGAACCGCACTGTCTGCCCGGCGGACTACACTCGCCACTCCCACAGGGCAGAACAAGCAGAAGCCCGCTTGGAGAGGGGAGGGGGGAGGAGGGAGGAGGGAGGAGGGAGGAGGGAGGAGGGAGGGAGGAGGGAGGAGGGAGGAAGGAGGAGGAGGAGGAGAAGCAGGAGGAGGAGGAGGAGCAGGAGGAGGAGGAGGGGGCAGACGATCCATCCTCCTTCACATCCTACTCCTCGCCAGCCTCATGCTGCGGGGCGAGGCCGCCATTGGGAGTGGGGAGGGCGGGAGTCGAGGATAGGGTTCGGTTTCAGGCGTTATCTGGGAGGTCTGACCCGTCAACTCCCTGGCTGAGCTGCAGGTTATGACGAGGAAGGGTATGAGGAGGATGATGATCATGATGATGATGAGGAGGAGGAGGGGGAGGAGGAGGAGGAAGGGGGGGAGGAACATCCGTGGCCCTTTTTCTGCGTGTGCTGCTACAGCTTTGCGGCTTCGCATCAGCATGCAAGGTTTTGTGTGGTCGCATCCTCGGCACGGCGAGGTATCTATTTTGCAGTCAGGGTTTCGCACCGTCATGTCGTGCTGCAGTGGTTCTGGGAAAAAGTGGCCTCGAGAGAAGGTGTTCCTGAGCTCTCTCTTGGGTGCAATTTTCAGCCTCTGCAGTCCCTCTTAGCCTCTAATGGCCTTAGGCATGATGAGAAGGCCTACCTGAGGAGCGTTGTCGCTGGGGGACAGTGGCCCCAGCATCGTCAGTGGCTTTCGCAGTACACCGCCGACCCCCTCTGCCGCTTGTGTCAGCAGGCCGCTGGCACGCTCTTGCATCGTCACGCGAGCTGTGCGGGCCACGATGACATCGCGGCACAGGAGGTCCCACCTGATTTCTTGACCTCAGTTGTCAGGGCGAGCGTCGACCCTCTTCCTCTCCTCTTCGCCGAGAGGCTCCTCGTCCCCGAGGCTCCCCTTCCTCCTGCGAACCCCCTCCCCGATCGGTGGTTCGGTGGAGGACCTACCGAGATGGCAGGGCACATCTTTCTTGACGCCAGCTGGATGGACCAGCATCTGCCGCCAGCGTATCAGGCTGTAGGCTGGGCCATTGTCAGTGTGCAGCCGCAGCATCCGTATAAGGTTAACTCGGCGATGTGCGGTTCCCTCCAGATCGTGTGTCAAGATATTGACTGTGCCGAGCTGTTTGCTCTCAACCGTGCTTTGCAGCACAGTGCCCCAGGCAGTATTTCTTATACCGACTCAGGTTTCGTCCACGATGGAGTTTACCAGCGTGGCAAGGCGTTCTGTTGCTCGGCGCGCGCTGCCTGGTCTGAGCTATGGGTCCAGGTCTGGCGCCGCATTGACGACTGGGGCGGCATCGAGTGTGTCGACCTACGCAAAGTCAAAGGTCATTGCACCGAGGCGCGCATCCAGTCTGGACTCTCTACGCGTTTTGAAAAAGAGGGCAACGCGCATGCTGACGAATGGGCTCAGCGGCTGGCCTCGAGAGCCCGCATTGATCCTGAGCTCCGCAAGGTTCGCAAAGCCAAGGCCCTCGTGCTCTCTCAATGGGCGTCTTGGGTTGCGCACATCGGGCCTCGCATGTGTGACGTTGGTTGTGAGCATGTCTCTCGGCGGCTGCGCAAGGCTCGTGGCCCTGGTGTAGTGGACCGCCCTGTGCCGAGGATGGTGGTGGAGCCCCCGCCGCCAGTCACGCCGCGCAGTCTGTCGAGAGCAGACCTTGCCTCTGTACGGGTGCAGCTTGCGGACGAGAGACCGCATGTCATGCACCCCTTCGCCGTCATAGGGGGCGGGGGGCGGAGGTTGTGGTGTACTGTGTGCGTGGTGTGCGGGCTGGGAGGGGTCAAGATCTCTGCGAACTTGTCACAGGACTGTCGAGGCCCCCCTGCTCCAGGCACGTGGGGTGCTCGTGTCCTCGCGGGCCTCACGCGTGCGCCTGCACGCTTCCAGGTCAATCGTGTGTGGCGGTACCTCGAGGATCCGCTGCGCACTGCTTCCTTGATCCGTGCGGGAGTGGTGCAACCGCTCTAGTGCCGTGCTGCGCCATGCCCCGCGCGGCTTTCATATCCGCCAGCCTGCTGTGTGCTGGCCATGCCTTTCCTTTCTGGGCACTGTTCGGGTGGCGCCACCCGCCTCTGGCTGTGGCCATGCGGTGGCGTAAGTGGCAGGTGGCGCGGACAACCTTGTTCGCGTTCAGGCTGAGTCCAGGAAGGGGGGAGGAAGAGGAGGAGGGGGAGGATGAGGAGGTGAGCGTGGTAACTTCAGCTTTTACCGCCACGCGCCATCGCTCGATGCCGCCAGCTCGCGTATGCGCGCGTGCGAGAGGCATGCGCGAAACTGCCGGCATGTTTGGCACAAGGCGGCTACTGATGCGGTGCATCGAGCTTTGTGCACGGTGATACCAAGAGCCCACGAAAGTTTTGCTTCAGTTCGTTGTGGGGGCAGATAGTAAATTTGTCGGATACGTTGATTGGCCACCTTCCTCTGGAGACCGAGACTCCAGGTCTGAAGGCTGTGAGAGCGAAAACCTGAGGTCCATGTTAAGACGTGCATCAGCAGCTAGGCTGTTTCAGAGGGGGAACGTGGAGCGTTCTTGAAGAGCTGGCCAATGAGGAGGAGGGGGAGGAGGAGGGGCGATGGGGGGGGGATTGGGGAAGACGGCGGGCAGCGAGGGGGAGGGCGAGGGGGACCCCTTCGCTCCCAGTCTCCGCGCCCCACCCCCCGCACCTCTTACCCTCCGCCTTTCCTTCCCGCCCTCCCGCTGCACCCTCCAGGGCTCGAGCCACAAGCGGTGCTCCGGCGACTTCGTGGGCCCTGTTCGTTTCGACCCCGTGGCGCAGGCAGAGGCGGAGCGAAGACAGAGCGAGGGGAAGCGAAGGCCAAACGAGAACGGAAAGCGCCGTTCATAGGGGAGCAAACAGTGGCATAGACATAAAACTCGGAGGTCCGCGCGGACCTCCGAGTTTTTGTGTATTTATGCCAATCGTTGCTCCCCTAGTTCAGCCCGCGCACTGCCGCCCTCTCCGCTCTCTTCACCCCGCGGGGCCCCCCCGCAGCCCGGCCGAGCCCCCAGGGGCGGCTCCGCCCTGCGCGCGCCGGCGGCCGATATATGGCTCGGGGGCGGCAGCGAGGGGGGCGATGACTGGGGGGGGGATATCGTGGCGTGGGCCGCGATGTCTCCCCAGATTGTATGGAGGAGAAGGAGGGGGAGGAGGAGGAAGAGGAGGATGACGAGCTGGAGGAGGGGGAAGGGTGGAGGGGGAGAAGGGGGATGAGGAGGAGGAGGAGGAGGAAGAGGAAGAGGAGGAGGAGGAGGAGGAGGAGGAGGAGGAGGAGGAGGAGGAGGAGTGCCTCTTCTTATTTCAACGCGTTTTCTGGCCCCCCCCCCTGGGCCGCGCACACGCCGCCGGCCATGATTTATTTGCGCCCCCCCTCTTGGACGCACCCCTCTTGGCCGCCTCCGAGCGCGCCGGCGACCGATATGGCCCCCGCCCGGGCGCCATGCCGCCGGCTGGCGCCGACGACGAGGAGACCCGGCGGGTCGCGGCCCTGCTGCTGCGCGGCGCCCGCGAGCAGGAGGAGCGGGCCCAGGAGCGGGTGTTGCCAGACGTGCCGGGGCAACGATAGGGGGGGAGGAGGAAGAGGAGGAGGAGGAGGAGGAGGAGGAGGAGCTTGAGGAGAAGGAGGAGGAGGAGGAGGCGGAGGAGGCGGAGGAGGAGGAGGAGGAGGAGGAGGGGACAGGCAAAAGGGGGGATGCATCGACCCCCATCGGTGTATCGCCGATTCCAGGGCGATGCATTCTCCCCCTCATGCCCTACCGCTGCCCCATCAGAGGTGTCCCTGGCCCAAGAAGGCTTTTTCCCCCAACCATCCTGTGGTGTTGGGTCCTCGTTCTGAAGAGACAGTGCCCCGCGTTCTTCTCCTCCCGTCTCCTCTCTTCTCCTCTCTTCTCCTCTTCTCTCCTCTCTCCTCTCTCCTCTCTCCTCTCCTCTCTCCTCTCTCCTCTCCTCTCCTCTCCTCTCCTCTCCTCTCCTCTCCTCTCTCCTCTCTCCTCCTCTCCCTCCCCTCCCCTCCCCTCTCCCCTCCCCTCTCCTCTACTCTCATCTCCTCTCCTCCTCCTCATCTCCTCCTCCTCCTCCTCCTCCTCTTCTCCTCCTCCTCCTCCTCCTCCTCCTCCCTCCTCCTCCTCCTCCTCCTCCTCCTCCTCCTCCTCCTCCTCCTCCTCCTCCTCCTCCTCCTCCCCCTCCCTCCTCCGCCTCTGTGCCTCTGCCCTCCGCGTGTGCCTGTTCCGGCACACCCTCGGGCGGGCCTCCTCGGGATGGACGCCCGCACCTCGCTGGAGGGGCTCTCGCCGTCGGCGACGCCGCGCTCCTGGTGGAGGCGGCGGTGCGGGCGGCGGCCATACCGCGGCGCACGGTCGCTGCGGTCGCGCGTCGGGGGGTGTCTGCCGCGGCTTTCGCCGCGGCGTCGACGCCCGCCGCGCTTGCGGCGGCAGCTGGCGCCGATAGGGGGCCACATGCGAACCCTACCCCTACCCCCCACGATATCTGAAGGGGTAGGGCTAGGGTTCGCATGTGGCCCCCCAGCCGAGGAGCCGCGTCGGCAAGATCGTGGGCGCGCTGCAGGCGCTGCTGGAGGGCCTCCCGCAGCGGCGAAGGCGGCGCGGCGGAAGCGCCGGCGCCGGCGGCCGGCAGAGGCGCGCAGGGCTTCGGGAGGCGTGCGCTGGGCCTGCAGGGGCGCTGGCGCTGGCCGCTGCCGCCGAGGCGCCTGTCTGCGCGGTGCGCCGCGCCCGCGAGGCCGACGGCGACACGGCCTCCCTCGACGACGAGTGGGCCGACGCCCCTCCCCGCGCTCCGCGGGGGCGACGGCGGCGGCGAGACGGAGGCGCTGCGGAGCCAACGCAGGTGCCCCTCGCGGCGCCTGCGGCTGGCGGAGCGGCGGCCGCGGCCTTCGCGAAGGTTGTCGCCGCAGCGGACGGCGCCCTCCGCCAGGCGACGGAGTACCAGCCCTCGGCCAGCGTCGAGCTCCGGCGCGCGCTGGAATCCGCTGGTTGGAGGCCGGTCGCCAGCGTCTGAGGCCCGCGGCCTCCTGTCCGAGGGAGTGGCTTCGGTGGTTTGCCCTCTTTTGAGGGCGGCACGGCCTGGCAGATGTCCCGCGTGACATTGCACGCCTGCCCCCCAGAGAGAGGCTTCGGTGGGCTACCCCCTCTTGAAAGGGCGCGGCCTGGAGGATTTCCCGCGCGGACGTCTCAGGTGACGCCGCAGACAGGGTGCAGGGCGGGCGCCTTGCGCTCAGGGCTCCTTTGCGGGCTCGCTGTCGGCCCAACGCAGGTCGGGGGCGCTTCGCTGCCGCCTCTCCTCGCGCCTCAGTTGTGCCGAGCGCCGCTCGGACCGCCCGAGCGTTGGTCACAGTTTGAAACAAGAGCCCCAGTGGCAGCGTGGCGGCCCCGCCCGATTTCATCACGCCCCTCACGCGCCTCGTGGCCCCATATGGAGCTCCGCCGAAGGCTCCAGCGGCAGGGTTCGCATGCAGGCCCCGCCCCATTCGTGGCCCCATCGAGAGCTCCACCGAAGGCCCCAGTGGCAGCGTTCGCATGGCGGCCCCGCCAC